TTAATTCCTTATATTAAATAGGGGAATTTGTCGGCCAATATATTGGTTCCGCAGACCAAACGGATGTCATGACTTTCTCTAGTTTATTTGATCGAGCCTCACCCTCAATTCTTGTATTCATCCATTGGGATAGATACAGAATATGAGGTAAAGTGCTCTTCCATTTAAACTATGAAAATTATGGGGTCAGTTTGACTTCATCTTTTTCAAAACTAAATTTTTTAACGTCCTTCCGAAGCGGGCAACGGGATTTCAATTCCGATGACCGAAAACTTCTTACGGACAAACCCCCCACCAAAAATAGTGCCGACACTCATTCACTATTCTTGCACAACATCAATAAAATCATAATCCTCCTAATCTTTATGACTTGGAACTCAACTAAGATGAGGCGATTCTTATGTAATTGACTTAAGCTAGAAGATGATAGTTTACTTTTCTTAAGCCCAAAGTTGATGATGATTTGACCATTTGATAATAATACATGTCATTGAAATAAAAATTTTGATAATCACCTTTTCACCTATCATGATTGTTAAAGGCTCAGTAGTGACATAGGCTTAATATCTAAACTCAATTAATTTGATTTAGAAGATAACATAATTGGTGATTAACATATTTAAACACTACAAGCCTGATCTTAATTATGGGCACCACAATCTTAAATAACCTTAAATAACCTAACCTAAACTTGCCTTAGGGGCACTCACTCACATAAATCTTAAATGAAACATCAATTGATTAATCGAGTATTATATCCTTGAGATAATTAAATTGCTAAGTTTCATTGAGCAAAGGGGTAGTCACACTATAGTCAAACTTCGACCTAAGATGATTAATAGAGCAATATGATAAGTCCAAAATGAACTCAGAACATTTTAAGAGATCTTCAAAGTGATCTAAGGTCATACTTCAAGCATTTTGAAATTTATTGGACATTTTGAAAGGCAAATTGGATTTGTCATATTTTACTCTAAAATCATCTATTAGGATCTTCCAATCTTCCAAGATCCAAATCTTCCAAGATCCAACAAAATCATAGCCTGAGGTTTGGTAACTAAACATTCATCTAATCTTGCAATTTAAGTTCTTTACAATATTATATACATATATTGCAGGTAATGACCTTTCAAGTGGTGGAACGAGAAGACTCGTTAAGTACACTTTTACAGTTTACAGTACCGACTTTTCTAGTACTTTTCTCACTGTATTTTTATACTTACAAAACTTGCATGTTAAACAACAATGTCACACTGCATGGAAACCAAAACTACTAGGGTAGCCGTAAAACCAAAACTAAAACTAAAATCAACCAAGATAAAATTCACCGCCATAACATTCAAAATATAAGACAACTCAAACTAAATTAAGACGTCTCTATCGGATGATCGAGAATCCCTCAGACAAGGTAACATATGGTTGCTAACGAGGCTTCCCACGGCATAAATAAAAGTATGGAACTCATTAAGTTGAGTTTAGTAAATTCATTTGGACTAAGTAAATCCCATAGAAAATAGTGGTACCAAAACGAGGAAACCGTAGGATCTTAAACGGTGTCGCTCGAGTCAACTTTAATATGCCCCGTAACATTTAAAAATGTATAACCATATGGACATCTGATTTGACATCATAACCAGACACATTAGAAAACTTAAACTCGTCACGACGAGGAGCTCAAAACTAACATTGTGGGCAGCACGAGCATCTTTAATAGCAGGAAGATCTACAACAACATATCATTCCTTAGAAATAAATAACTAGCCATAGGATCTCGAGGTTGTTTACTTATGCAACATAAATCCTTAGTTTATCTTTAGGCTTTTGTATAGCCCTGTTACACAATATAAGCCCTAACTCGTCTTAGGATTCTGAGGTTGTCGTTTGTCACGACCCAAACTCTAACATCTTCTAGGTTATTTGAGTGATCGTTTCACATAAATGTAAGCCCTAAACAAATAAAATTGGCAAGATGAAATAGTTAAATAATTTATCCTCAAAACTGAAGCCAAACAATAAGAAAATTTTGGAAGTCACTGAGTTTCTCCTTTGGATCTATGACATCCTCTAGTTCTTCCTCTTTTGGACTCTACAACAAAATGCTCCAAATTTGAGTTATTCCCCTTTCACACCTCTATGTCCGATCTCGTTGAAAAGTCATATTCTTTTGACCTCTTTGAAAACAATATTTCATGATTTTTATTGAGAGTTTTCTTAAATGGCTTTGGTTATCTAAGATGTAATTGAGAGTTTTTCTAAACTATATATATTGTTCTTCCGAAGCGGGCAACGAGAATTCGATTCTGGTAGCCGACAGCTTCTAATGGACAACTCCTCAAATAAAAATAGTGCCGACACAACGTATCATAAATACTCTATTTGTTATTTTTTTCATCACGTGGCAAATTTTTTTTGACTAAACACTCAACTATTATAACTATAATCGATCTTAATGGAGTCGAGAATAACATGTATTAACTTGGCTTTGTTGAATCATAAGTTATTTGAGATATAGCCAAGCTTTCACAAATGTTCTTAGTTCGACTGCTTAATTTTTTAAGTGATCGTGTTTGATTTGTAATTGAATTTTTTCAATTAATTGTACAAATTAAAAATTAAAATGAGCACCTAATTTTCAATATAAAATTAAAATTTTAATTTGTATTTGATTTTTCATATAAAACTTGTTAACAATCTAAAAAATTTCATGAATGCTTTATTTTTTTATATAAAATTATTAACAAATAATTTTAAATATCTAAATAAATAGGCAATGGAATAAATTACAGATTAACATCTAACCTATTTATATCAAGTATATAAAATAATATATAAGTTATTTACAAGCTTTGTTGCAGTGAGACAATAGAAATAAAAATTAACAAAACTAGTACAATTAAATAAAAAAAAATGCGTTAAATGTATATACACAATGATTTTAAATTATAATATATTACTATTAAATATATAATTATATAATTTTTAGTTAATTAAATTTTATTTAAAAGCTATTATATATATATATATATATATATATATATAACATTTAGCAAGTTATTTGTTTTGCACAAAGTAGCTTGCTTGTAAACATTAATACAACGAGCTGGACTATATTCAAATTTTATTACTTTTGATTTTGAAAAATAGCTATAACTTGTTTATTTAATAATTTGAGCAAATATTATTGAGTATTAATTGAACTGAGTTCAAATTATTCATTGCATGGTTTTCTATTGAGATATCAGTATCATTGCTCTCCAAAAAATAAAACTTATAGTCTCAAAGTCTCAAAGTAACATCCCCTAGCCCACTCATACCAATGCTTTAAAAAGCTACTTCATGAGAGCAACCAACTTGATGAAGCTTAACCTTGACTTTATTATTATGCTCATGTCACACAAATGTTTAGAATAAGTATGCCACAACATGTATGATCTACTAGCAAAAGTCACAAACACTACCTACACAAGACACCCAAAAAGAACTCATATACCTCCCTGTCTATTGGATGAATCTCAATCCTTCTAGTGTCACGGCCATAGATTGGTTACGCAACGGCGTCCGGAGTTTGGGAGTCCGGACGCAACCGTGATACAGCGGATGTCCGAGCTCCTGCTCCGCCCCACTATATCACGTCCGTTGCCCAGATGCAACTTCGCATCCGAACTCCAAATGCAATATTTTCTCTGTTGAACAATGTAGAAGGCCACGCTCCTAAATACCGTTACGTAAATGATATCTAGAGAGAGAGAGAGAGAGAGAGAGAGAGAGAGAGAGAGCGCCAAACTCCTGACTACAGTCTAACACAAACAACTGGAAACAAACAGCAGCATCAACCTGCCTACATAAACTTAAAACAAATGATGAAGCAGCATTCATAACTCATGAATCAGAGCAGAACAAACAAGACAGTTGTATATGAGACAAACAATAAATCAGTTCTCTCTCACTAAGAACTAAGAAGGCTTATAATACTTGGTGGGGACGAAAGGCATCTTCGTCACCACAGCATCGTTCGATCTTCCCCGAATAACAACCTTCACTTCAGTTCCCTGTTTATGCGAACCAGACTTCACATACCCCATCGCAATGTTCTTCTTCAAGCACGGACTGAAACCTCCACTCGTAATCTCCCCAATCTTTTCCCCATTCGAGCTCAGAATCTCGCTATGGCTTCTCGGAGGAGGACCCGAGGAGAAGAATCCGACTCGTCTGATCGAAGGACCTTCTTCCACTTGTTTCAGGATCACATCCGCGCCCAGAAATCCCCCCTCCGATCTTCTTCTCTTCCCGATGGCCCAACTCAGCCCGGCTTCCACCGGCGTTATGTGCTGCTCCATGTCGTTGCCGTACAGGCAGAGGCCGGCTTCGAGGCGGAGGCTGTCGCGAGCTCCGAGGCCGGTGAGCCTCACCTTCCCCTCGGACTTCTCTAAGATCGCTTTTGCGAGATCGACGGCGTGCTCTGAAGGAACTGAGATCTCGAAGCCGTCTTCTCCGGTGTAGCTGAAAGGTAGAGAAAAAGAAAAGCTCAAGTTAAGTACTTCTTATGTATTTACATACGTAGGTTGTAACCCCCAACTCCTATGTATTTGCATATCTAACACCTTAACTTAAATTTTTTATATTAATACCTCTGCTTTGCTTTATCTTTAAGAAAAAGTGTACATGCATGGTTATGTAAAAATTGAAGTTTAGGTGTAGGATATGTAATTAGATGAGAATTAAGTGGTATGTATGTAAATCATCATATATATAGGAAGGATTAGTGAAGTTCAGATCCTAGAAGCATTCTTTTTAGATGAAATAGATTAGCTTGTGTTCAAAACTGTTCATTACTAAACAGCCATCATGGTTGCAAGAATATAGTTGATTTAGTTTCTATAAAACTACGAGGCATTTACATATATATACCACCAAATTCTTATGTATTTACATATCTAACACATAAACTTTAATTTTTACATTAATACCACCCAAATCTTGAATATCACGTCAAAAAAACCACTACTTTAACTTTTTAAAAAGTGAAATACACATTTTCATGCAATAGGGAAGGTAGCATATATATATATATATATATATATATATATATATAAATCGAAGTTTAGGAGTTAGAAATGTAATTATATAGGAATTGAGTTCTATGCATGTAAATCTTCATTAATATTTGCAGGATTAGTGAAGTTAAGATCTTAAAAGCATTCTCTTAACTTTTAGCTCATGTGTTTTAAGGTGTTCATCACTAAACAGCCATTATGGTTGCAAAAAATAAAGCTGATTTAGCTCATAAAAAACTACATAGATGTTATAATGATGGGGTATTTACATACATACCACCGAATTCTCATGTATATTCACATATATAACACCTAAACTTCAATTTTTCACATTTATACCACTCAAATGCTTGATATCACAATGAAAACACCACTATTTTAACTTTTATAAGGTAAAATACACCTTTTCATGCATAGCTAAGGTGGCATATATGTAAAAATTGAAGTTTAGGAAAATTGAAGTTAAAAATTGAAGTTTAGGTGTTAGATATGTAAATACATAGGAATTTAGTGGCATGCATGTAAATCTTCCAAGCATCTTCACCCTTTTTCTATATGCTTCCTTGGTTGAAACTATTAGCTTCAGCACAGTTACTTATAATGTGCTTGCAATATTTACTTAATTAAAAGAACAATTATACTAGCAGAAATCTCAAATACCTTAAAAGTGAACTAACTTGCAAAAATAAAAAAAAGTAAATGGCACTTCTGGAAAATAAAAAACCAAACTGATTGATTTCATAAAAATTCCCCCACAGTAGACACCACAAACAACAGTAATACCATCCAATCCCTATGTATTTACATTTCTACACCTAAATTTTCGTTTTTGCAATTATGTGACCCAAATTTTTCATATCACATCAAAAACACCACCATTTTAACTTTTGGAAAGTGAAATGTTCCTTTCCATGCATGGGAAATGAGGTATGTGTGTAAAAAATTGAAGTAGAGGTGATAGATATGTAAAAAACATAGGAATCTAGTGGTATGCATTTAAATCTTCATAAAATTGAAGCTCCTAATGCGTTGAGAAACTACACAAACTTAGGTGGGTGGATCCAACTTGATAGATGTGATCTACCAAGTTCTTAGTGGACAAGAAATTTAAAAGTTGTACAATTATCAATGGGGAATTTATTAGCTTAAGTTAGAAATATATAGTTGCCCTTGTGTGATTAAATACTATACCTTCAACAAAATTTATAATTTTACTGGGGAAATCTATAAATTTTTGATTTTTTGACATTGTACTTATTATTTTAGATGAATATATTCTATTTCAACAAAAGCAAATTTTCCCCTATTCGCGCATTAGAAAATAAGCCGCAATTACATTAAGAAAATCATACCCGGTTCTTGTAAGAAAACACTTGAATCCATTGATGTCCAATGTCTTGAATTCCCCAAAATACATTTTACTCAAATCATCTTTCGTCAACAACTGAAGAACTGGTGCAGCAAGTGGGCCCTGAGATTATCAACACAACAAACAAAACTAAACTCAACCTGCAAGCATTTAAATGGCCAAAAAGCTATAATCTAAAGTCAAATATAAAACAATGAATTAAGAAGAAGTATGGGTGTACATGAAATCCATAACATTAATGATGTAGCATAATATAAATAAGTTGAAAATTGAAAGACTATTATTTCACATGATGTACCTAACCATTGAGAAAATAATCACACATTAACAGTTATAGAATAGGAGCTAGGCATTGTTATATCACTTAGAGTTGGTAAAACTCTTAGGGCTCATTTAGTTGTTTGAATTTTACAACAACACTTTACAAAACAGATAAATTTACTAAATCCCACAACATGGCTCGATGAAATTATAAATCCAGAACGAATTCATCACACCGAAATTTTTGAAACTCTAGAATTTGGTTTTCATGTGAAAAATGAATGAAATCTGAATCAGTAATTCTCATAATATCATCTAAACTTTCAATTTGACATCAAAAGTTCTCCACCTATTCTGCCCAAATCAACACAACACCATTTCCCAACCCCCCCTTAAGCTCTTGGTAGACTCCTAACTTTCATGTTCTAATTGATTTCTAAGATTAAGCACTATATTTTAAATTGCTCCTATCATCTTGGTGTTTGATTTCAAATTTTGTAACAAGTAAGATCTAGAGTTGAGATCACAATGAACACATAACCTTAGATGATTTTACTTATATTGGCTGGTACCAAAGAAAAAATTTGCATTGGAAAGCCAAATCCAACTTCTTCTCTGTAAAATTCTATCACTAAGAGGTTGTTTGGTTCGTTGAAAATGAAGTAAAATATAAAAGGTTTGCAGAATACTGTTATTATAATGTATTTGAAATACTTTATGGTTGTTTGGTTTATTGAAAAATAAACACAAGATTTTATATGTTTTTGTTTGGTTTGAAGTAAATTGAAAATACTATAATAATTTATTTGGGAGGAGAGCGGTAATCTGCGGGTGACGGGCGGTTGGGGGTGACGACGTGCGACAGTTTGTCGATAACATTTTGTAGTGTAATTTAAATTCGGTCAAATCGGGCCGAATTCTAAATTCAACCAAAATGAACTAAAGAGTGAAGTTTAAATTCATTGAAACTTTACATTGTACTTGCATTTCTTCACAATAAACTCATAATTTTCTCAAATTTATGTAAATGAATTACAGTACACTACAAATCCTTCCAACAAAATAGCCCCTAGATAGGAACCCAAACAATACATGTTCATCAAATAAATACCTTGGTAGATTCAGATTGCTGAAAAAAAATAAAAAAATTTAGTCTGCATCTTATCAGGAAGTTCACCAAAGTAATGGATCCAGTCTGTTTACTAATCAATCTGCGTTAAATCCAGAACTAAATGTATTAATTATGAAAGAACCTAATGGCTGAGCAAAAGTATTGCAGAAATTACACCATTACATAAGAATTTAACATTTCTTTGAAAATTCTGAATTCGTAATTGACAAACCAAACAACGAATTAAGTTCTCATAAAAAAAACTAACTCCAATTACGTTATTTCTAATTCATGAATTTTAATTCCAATTTGATTTCCAACCACACGAACCCTAAACAGCAGCAAACACCAAATTTCACCATCAAAGTAAACCCTAATGGAAAACAAATTAACATATACGATCAGATCTGACGAAACCTGGAGGGCGAGCAGGGACCTTTCATCATGGACATGCCAGGAAACATCGCCCCCCTTCGCCTTAAAAGCCTCCAAGTGCTCTCCAATGTGAGCGAGATCCTTATCGCGGCATCCAGCGTTTACGACGAGGTAGATATGATCGTCTCGAACCTTAGTGACGACGGAATCATCAATGGCTCCGCCGCGCTCGTTAGTGAAAACGGTGAGCGTGCCGGTACCGGGGCGGAGACCGGCGATATCTGCGACCACGAGGCGTTCGAGGAAGGAGATGGAGTCCTTTCCGGTGAGACTAAGGCCGCACATGTGGGACACATCGAATAGGCTGCCATTCTCGCGGCAGTTAACAGTGGAGTCCATAATGGAGTCCTTGTACTGGATCGGCATGCTCCATCCGGCAAATGGAACCATCTTACCACCGTTTTCGACATGGAAGTCGTGGAGAGCGGTCTTCTTGAGATCTGCAGCGGCGGCGGCGAGACAGCGGGGTTTGGGCAGGTGGGAGGGATGGGAGAGGTGGCGGGAGAGGGATTGGCCGAGCTGCCAGAGGACGGCGCCGCGCATTTTGGGATCGGAGTTGGGGAGGAGAGGAGGAGAAACAGGGTTCGATTCTGCTTTGATTTGATAGGAAATGGAGGGAGGAGGAGGGTGGGTGGAGGAGAAATAGTGGGGATGGAGAAGGAAGATGGATAGGCCATCGCGAGCGAGTGGCGGCTTGAAGCCATCGTCTTCTCAAAAAATAAAAAAATAAAAAAATAAAAAAATAAAAATAATGATAATATAAAATTATTATTAAGTATTTAAAAGAAAATTTTCACTCATACCAAAGCTAGGCTTGTGAATCTTAATAAATGTTTTTGATTGTATCAAAATAAATGTTTTTGATTGTATATGGATCACTCAAACTGAACTAAGGATAAGCTAATTGTGTTTTTTATTTATAAAAATTATATATATATAATGTTAAGTGAAATCGAATATTATGTCTCACGAGTCAATTTTGCGCCGATTTCGAAGGAATCAAAATAACCTAATTTGAACCAATTAATTTCAATTTTGAGTCAACCGAGCAGATTCCGAGTAAAAAAATGATCCAAATAATTAAATTTGAGCTAGCTCATTTTGATTTTTGAGTGGGATTGAGCTTGATTCAATCTCGAGTTGATTTGGCTGTAAATTGAATATAACGAACTATGAGCCACTTATGAGCTGAACCCAGCTCGACTCGAAATCGGATCTTAACAACCCTATACCATGTAATTTATATTTATAACAATTTTAAGTTTATAAATCTATGTATGAAAAGTTTTTCACTTTTAAAGATTTAATAGCTGTAATATTTTTATATATTATTAAAGACTTGAAGTTTATGCAAGTAAATATGAAAGTTTAGATGTTAAAAATATAAATACATGAGAATTATGTGGTATATTTTAGGGAGTATTGTTTAGTGGTTGAAGAGTAAGAAGTCTACTTTTTTACTTTAAGTAAATTGTTAGATTTGATGGTTTTCATCATTTCGCACGAATCTCGAAGCATAACACGGATCTCGAGATGATATTTTAAACAAAAAACATTCAAAACTTGACAAAAACGCATCCAGAGCTCCGATTTTAGCAAACTTGTAGTTAAACTGACTAGTTCAATGAGACAGACTAAATGATATCAAATTTATTCCAATTTGAGTCAAATCAAGTTTATATCAAGTCATTAAACAATTCTTGAAAGATTTTTCGACACGTTTGGAAGAATAAACGGTTGTCGAATCTGACAAGTTTATAATCAAATTGAGTGTCTCGACAAGACAAATCCAACGAGCCCAAGATCACTCAATTCTGACATCATTAAGGTCTCCAAATGTCCATTAAACACCGTCTAATTGAGGGAAGCTCTCCAGACTTTTCGATCACAATAGTTCTTATTCATGCATTAATTGCATCCAAAACACTATAAATAGAGCCTCACTCCTAAGAAGGAGTTGCAGCTTAGCATCACCGCCGACTAATGTCGATCACTATCGACCACTGTTGGCCTTAGGCAACCACTGTTGACCGTCTCCAACCACTGTCGATAGTCGTCGACCACCACCAACCGGACACCGTCAGTTAATGCTATAACTCAGAAAATCTAATAGTCTTTTCCCGTCAGTGGGACAAGAGCTCATCATTACGGTCAATGTGCCAACAACAACCTACGTGGTTCACAACTTGTACAACTCTCAAATCTGGCTCCGCAGCCTATGGACGTCATTTATACTCTCCACTACGACATATGTGGTTCACTGTTCCTATAACTGCTTACTACAGTTTCTTTTGGCAATCAACGCTTCTGGAGCAATCATCTACAAAACTCATGACGGACTACTACCTCTGCAACAATCAACAATGACTCTTGCAATCTACTGTCACTAAGAACTACAACCAGATTATAGTTATACAATTTTGTAATTTCATCTTCCCTATTTAAAGAGAAGAACAAACATGTGTACTCATCATTCATAGTGGATTATTTCAACTGGGTTATGCTCCGTGGGTTTTCCCTTTTTCAAGAGTTTGTTATGTAAAAAGTCGATGTGTCTTCTTTTGCTTACTTCTCTTTTTTTATCCGTGTGTGCTGAATTCTCGTGCAACGCTAAGATGATAATCCATTACTCTACCATCACGAATTTTCTAGCATGCCTCATAGAAAAGTGTCAAGGAGTAGAGAATAAGACTAACAATTTGTTTAGGGCAGTTGCAATTAGTTGAAAAAATAGTTGTGAAGCTGCTGGCGAAAAAGAGGCGGCCATTTTTACTCTTTTTTGTTTAAACGTTGGACCGCAACTTTCTAGCAGACATCGCACTTAGTCAGATTCAACGACACTGCACAACTTTCAGATGCAGTTTTTTGAAAAAACAGTCAAAATGTTATTTTTTCAAACAGAAAAGTCTATAATGTGGCACTGCACCATAACCCCAAATGCACCTTAAAATTCAGACTGGAATTATTTTGGTGAGAGATATAAGTGAGATTTTAGAATGATTTTGAGGCTCGGTTGGATGATGATCAATGTTAGAGTAAGGTAAGAAAAATTCTGAAACTTGTTGTCATATAGAAGTAATGCAATTAAAATAAAAGGGATAATAATCTTACTTATTAAAAATGACAAACTTTAAGCCACAAAAACAAGAAAAAAACGAGAAATCTTCTTCATTCAAATGATTTCAATCAGCACTATAGAATTTATATATAGTAGATCTTATGCATGCGAAAAAAAATCATTCAGCTTTGTCATGTTGAAGGAAAAAAAGGGTTAAAAATGTAGTAGTTAATTACATCGATTTGTTTATCACTAGTTATTTCTATACATTTTTCGAGGAGCTGTTGTTGTATCTTTTTTCTTTGGCCACCAATACCATCTCTGATGAGCTCTCGTGAAAAAACTAACTTTAAATTCGAGCTCACAAGCCGTGCTTGAGCTCTAGCTAACAATTTGAAGGATAAGCTTGGCATGGCTCAAGATCAACTCTAACTCATCTACACCCCTAGGTGGCACAAGATCAACTCAACTCATCTGCACCCCTAGGTCTACTAAATTCTTTGCATTCCAAATGTAGTTCACCATCTTTTCAACAAGTACAAAAAGAATTTATATTTAGAATTCACTCTTTTGGTTTAAATTAAATATAACTAAAATTTATTATATTTGGATGAATCTTAATTATATTGCTTAGGTAAAGTATTGTTGGCTACGTCCGTTGCTGCCACCACCACTTGCTGTCACTGGCCGACAGTCAGCTCGACCAACTGCCGCCCACCCCATTGACAATCATTGTTGTCATTTGTCCCGCAACCTCCTATAGTCGATAGTCGCCAACCATCACTGACCGCCTCTATCCTCGCCATCACGTTACGACCAACACTCACCTCATAATCTACCGCTTGCCACCATCACCACCGCCTACCACCCATCGCGTACCACATGTTGCCACTAGATGACATTACGACCTTATAGGTGTTACCATGTATTTGCAGTATATTTATTCAAATATAAAAAATAAATTCATATATTTATTATCTCCTCATTCAATTATTCAAATATGTATATTTACATCTCAATACACTGTATTTATTCATTTAATATATTCCTTCTATACTGAATTACTTTTTTAGCCTCTCAGAAAAAGCAAAATTACGTTTAAACACACAAATTTTCATTTAAATCCATCTATCTTTCTTCAACCGCCACTCACCTGAATAGCCTTTCCGTCCTAATACAAAGAGCCAAAAAATAAACTAAAATAATTACGGATAAAATTGCAGAATATAAATACTGACACCACTCGGCCATCCGGCAACCGAAGAGCTTAGATTTCTCTAGGGTTTTTCATACCAACGCATCGTCGAGCAGGTATTCTTCTCTCCTCATTTCAGTTTGCTTCCGATCTCAGTTCTATTGAAATATTACGTACATACTCAATGATCGCTGTTCATATAAGTAATTTTAGTGGCTGGATTCAGCTGTGCATACTGAATGATCGCGATTCATCTCGTGATTGGTTCCAAAATGTTGATTACGAGTGTATTGGTAGTCGGAGCAGGTTCTGATGTAGATTTGATGATTATTTTGCTAGCTATCGTTTCCTTTCTAGCGTTTCCGTCGAGGATTTCGTTGTATATATATTTTTATGGGTGTAATAATTGATTTAGTATTTTGCTAGCCATATCTTATCTTTCCTTTTTCGAGGGTTTTCAGCTTTTTTATGCTTAATCTTCAAAAGGCATTTACGGAACCTATTTTGTTTGATTATTATTTAGGTTTTTTCAATTGCGAGCTGTTTGTACTAATTTTGTTCTTCATGATGAAAGATAGTTTTCATTTTAGATGGAATTCGTAGGCCATTAATGATTTGCAATTATCCATGTATTAGTTTTTTGTAGTTTTGAATTAATAATAGTAAAGTAGGCTTTGACTGAAAGTATCTTTGAAGCTTTTTGAATGAGAAACTTGTGAGATGCTGAGTTTTAATTATTTGAAATCAATATTTACTACGGATTTTTGAACTCAGTCTGTCCTGTCAATGATCGTCTCTATGGATGATAAAAGTATAGAACCATTTTTAAAGATTGTTAATGAAATGAATGATTGCAGTATGTAAAGCAGTGCAAATAAAGATCAATGCACATAAGTAGGTGCAAATTGTAGTCATTAAAAGTTGTAAAATATGCAACAATTGAAGTGTTACACTGCCTATTGTCACACCTAATTAGGTAGGGATTGCAATAAATAAATTTGCAAAGGTGTATCAATACATTCATAGGATATGGAATTCAAATTGAATAAAAAGGGTAATATTTATATGAACTAAATAGAGAAATTATGAAAAAAAAATTCTCAATCCATGTGCAATTGTGCTTCAACATTCGAAGAGATTTGGAACTGTTGTTAAATAATTAGATTGGAAAATCTATATTCTAAAAAGAAGTTATTTAAAATGGTGAAAAGGTTCTTAAATCCTTTGGGATATATAATATAATATCACTAATACACTTAACATCAATATTTACTATATAAGGTTTCTCTTGGTGTTACTTTGCTACTGCAGAGTTGTAGGAGTTACCTTTTTTTAGGGTGCATTTACTTAAATACCACGCAATACATACTTATTTACATATCTAACATCTAAACTTTGTATTTTTTTATATTTATACCACCCAAATCTTACATAACACGTTAAAAATGCCATCATTTTATTCAAAAAGTGAAATACACCTTTTCACATGTATATAAAAATTGAAGTTTGGGTCTTAGCTATGTAAATACAAAGGAATTGAGTGGCATGAATGTGAATCTTCCTTTTTTTTTTAAGTTATTCTGGTTGTATAAGAACTCTATGAGTTATTTTAATTTAGGTGAATAATTCCATTTTGTAATTTTTTTCTCAAAGTAATACTGCTTTTTCTTTCTGATTTTTTTGTATTTGTGGATTTCTGATTTTAACTGGTGTAGTGAAAGTCTTAATTGCTGACAATTTCGATCACTCCTTTGCCATGAAAATGAAGTAGTTTACATACATACCACCTAATTCTTATGTATTTACATATCTAACACCTAAACATTCATATGTACATGCACACCACTCAAATCTTTTAATACCACATAAAAAAATGCCACAATCATTATCTTTCCAGAAGTGCAATACACATTTTCATGCATAGGTTAATGACACCAAGGTGTTATTAAGTGTAAATATCAAATTTTAGGTGTGAGATATGTAGATACATTTATGTATGTAAATTTCCTATATCATAATTTACTTCTCGTCTCGTGGACAGAACTTTAATTTGAGCATCGGAGATGGCATCAGAGGAAGCGAGTGAAACAGGGGTTGAAGTTGAAAGCTTACTTGAATGGTCAAAAAAGGATAAGCGTCGATTCTTGCATGCTGTTTATCGTGTCGGAGACTTGGACCGAACCATAAAGTATGCTTTCCATCGATTATTGTTAGTTTAATAAGTTCTTATTGGAGTATAGCTATTGTTTATTTAATAAACCTTACTTTTTACTGCAATTTTGGTTCAGGTTTTATACCGAATGTTTTGGAATGAAATTACTGAGAAAAAGAGATGTTCCCGAAGAGAAATATTCGAATGCTTTTCTTGGATTTGGTCCTGAAGATTCTCATTTTGTGGTAGAGCTGACATACAGTATGGCTTCTCATTTTTTTAAACATATTTTACTGTGTAAATAAGTTTGCTTTCCAATGCCTCTTTTGATTTTAAACCTTTATTTTTGTATTGAAACATTTACATGCATACCACTAAATTCTTATGTATTTACATATCTAATACCTTACCAATGCATAAACAGGTATATTTCCCTTTTTAAAAAGTTTAAATACTGGTACTTTTTTATTTAATGTAAAGATTTGGGTGGTAGAAATGTAAAATGAATAGTTTAGATGCTAGATATGTAATACATAGGAATTGGGTGGTATGTATTTTAATCATATAATTTACTGCCATTATTTATCACTTGAATCTTATTTACCTAAACAGATTACGGGGTGGATAAGTACGATATTGGCACGGGATTTGGACATTTTGCCATTGCCTCTGAAGATGTATGCCAACATAAATCATATCATGTGTTGTTAAAGCCTTCATATGGATTATCTGACTATTTATTACATAATGAAGAAATTTTGGTGGTGCTGTAGATTTACAAGTTGGTGGAGGACATCAGGGCGAAGGGCGGCAAGATTACACGTGAGCCGGGTCCCGTTAAAGGAGGAAGCACTGTAATAGCCTTTGCTCAAGATCCCGACGGTTACATCTTCGAGCTACTTCAGAGGGGCCCCACTCTTGAGCCTCTCTGCCAAGTTATGCTACGGGTTGGGGACCTCGATCGATCCATTCAGTTTTACGAAAAGGTATAAATTTAATATCTTATTGTTATTTGTTTGTTTAGATTAAAATTCATTGAATATCAATTTCTTAAATTATAATTTTGCTAACTTTTGTTATAAGTACGATTAAATTCATTGTAAGGTGCAAATTATGGGGTCTGTTTTGGGGAAAAAATATTCCGTCTTGACACCGCATGTCTCGGCGGGGGGAGCGCCCCCCTCGCCTGCGGCTGACGTGTAGGGCGATGTGGCTGCCGGCGGTTGGTTGTCCAGAAGTGCATTGCCCGGACTGAATATTTTCTCCTGTTTGGGACAGTTTTCTACCTACTTTGCATTTCAAACCCCCACCATAGCTTTGTTTGGGAAATTACTTTGTTGTTGTTCTCTAGAAATTTTTGTGATATGAAACTGTTTTTTTTAACCGTAATAAGATTTATTTGATTTTTTGAAAAAGTTGTATATTTATAATTTTCATGACATTTTTTTAAAAGTTTTTTTTCACCAGAAATTTACCACCATATTTTTAAAAAGTTGCAGGCATGATATGTTAAACATATCTAAACTCTACACCTTAAACCATCAATAGGTTGTCTTAATTAGATGTAAAATCATACATACACATGTCTATGTTAAATAAACTAATCGATTTTCTTATCCTTTGTGTTGAATTATAGAAAAAAAAAAGGTCATTTACATACATGCCACCCAATTCTTATGTATTCACACATCTAACTCCTAAACTTTGTTTTTTTTACATTTATACCACCCAAAATTTTCATATCACATTAAAAATACCACTATTTAAGTCTTAAAAAGTGAAATACACCTTTTTCATATATAAGTAAAATGGAAGTTTAGATGTTTGATTTGTAAAATACATAAGGAATTAATTGGTATGTATGCAAATCTTCCAAAAATAAAATTTAGGGAAAATTGTAGTTTTAGATGTTCGATATGTAAATTCATAGGAATTAAGTGGTATGTATGTATGAAAATTTTAGGTTTAGGTATTTAATAAGTACATAGGAAGTATGTAAATCTTCCAAAAACAGTAATAGGGGAATAAATCTATTCCTTTAATTTGATAGCAAATTTTGTTCTTCTTTTTTTATAAGTAAATCTATTTATTCTGTCCAATTAAATTAATTGTGTAAATGAATGGACATATCCAGGCTTGTGGGATGAGACTATTGAGGAAATCTGATAATGCGGCATACAAGGTAAGTTACTTCTGCATTCATCTCATTCCTAAATTAACTCTTTTGGCGATTCAATCATGACCGTTGATTCCCGCATTGCATGATCAGTACACCATTGCTATGTTGGGTTATGCTGAGGAGCATCAGACCACCGTTCTTGAATTGACATACAATTATGATGTGAAAGAGTACACCAAAGGGAATGCATATGCTCAGGTAATTTCACATCCTCAACCCTAAGACTGAGAAATTTATTCAGAAATACCACTCAATTCCCCAAGTATTTACATATCCAACACTTCAACTTCCAACTTTTACATATATGCTAACTTATTGATATATGAAAATCATTTTAAAAGTTAAAATATTGGTATTTTTTATGTAAATACATAGGAATGGGGTGGTATGTATGTAATTCCATCTTAATTTTATTTAGTTTGATTTTATAAAATTATTTCCAGCTTGCTCTTAGCACTGAAGATGTGTATAAAAGTGCTCAAGTGGTTGATTTGGTCACAAAGGAGCTTGGAGGAAAGATAACCAGACAACCTGGTCCTATTCCTGGACTCAACACCAAGATCACCTCCTTCCTTGATCCGGATGGCTGGAAAGTGGTGAGTTCTATAACTTTTTTTGTATTTGCACATCTAGCACTAAAAGGTTTGATATGCAACATTCATAACTTTTTTGGGTTAAATAAAAAATAACACACCAACTTTTGAAAAGTTATGAATGTTGCATATCACACTAACAATTTGTAGCCTCTTTTTCTAATTTAATTTTATTGTAATCAGATAATATATCTTCGAATATTAATGGAGTTTGAATTTAATTTTTGTTTTTTTTTTAGGTTTTCGTGGACCACTCGGATTTCCTGAAGGAGCTCCAGGCATGATTTCAGGAAAGTTTTGAATAAAAAATGTTATGGGAAATGCTTCTATGATGCACCTGTGTGTTTTATGACATTTGAAATAAGCTAATATTGTGCGACTACGTGAGAATTTTCTATGCTTTGCTGAGTCTGTTTCGTTGTCTTTTAAGAGGGATGTTTGATATATTTATACATCTAACACCTAAGCTTTGCTTTTTTTATATTTATAACATCTAAAGATTTCATCACATAAAAAATATCCCTATTTTAACTTGTAAAAGAAATTAATTTTTTAATGCATGTATATGGAGAAAATTATATATATATTTAGACGGAATAGCTTAAGACTATCATACGAGCCCCGGTCATCCCTTATGTACCTAAGAATTCAAGTACAACATTCTACACTCGAGGGGAATCGAAGTCCGGACTAGAGGGGACTTATAACAGACAAGCAAATGTCCGATCAATTGATTTAAGCATACGGCGCAATTAAGCAAGAAAAATTTAGATATCAATCAATTCTTGTGTATTTATAAATACTTTTAACACATTGAAAGATAAATTCTTCTTTCATAAGTACTGATATCAGATAATATCATTTAAAAATCATAATAAGATTAATAACAATAATGATAATAATAATAAAAATAATAAAGAATGATTAAAATGCATCAACATATCAAAAACATTAGACAACAATTATTACTGCTTCTTATAATAGTTTACCAATTAATCTCACCAAGGCAATTTATTAATCATTAAAAAAACTTAAAACAATCCTTTATAATAATAATAATAATAATAATATCATCTTCTTTCTGGAACTAAACAACTAAATAGGTGAAGTCCAAAAATAATTTCCCGAATATTTGTATGTGGCTAATTTAGTCCAAAAACATTTGTACTCTTTGATATTTATTGATAAAAATTCATCTTCTTTTAAATGTGAAATTTGTCAATTAGCTAAACATCAACATGTACAATCTCCAACTCATCCTGACACTCCTTTCTCCCCTTTTTGACTTATTCATAGTAATTTATGGGAGGCCTCTCGAGCATCAAGCTATACTAATAAATGGTGGTTATTTATTCTAATTGATGATCACACTAGAATCAATTGGGTCTATGTATTAAGAGATAAATTTGAAGCTTCTAAGCAAATTCAAAAGCACTATTCAAGTTCTTTGGGTTGACAATAGTCGTGAATACTTTAACTCTATATTAGGAGAATTCTCGTTTAGTAAGGGCATCCTTCATGATAGTTCCTGTACAGATACACCTCAACAAAACAAGATTGCCAAGCGGAAAAATTGACACCTTCTCGAAGCGGTTCGTTTCATTATGTTTCAAACTAATGTTCCAAAGCATTTTTGCAATAACGTTGTTCTTACCACAACTACCTCATCAATAGAGTTCCCACAAAAAATCCACAACTTTCAGACCCCATTATCTGTGTTGATGTCATGTTTTCCTACCAATCGGTTCTTCTCCTCGTTAGATCCCAAAATATTTGGGTCATAGCCTTTGTTCGAAACACAACCCCGACATGTAGTAAACTTGATCCCCACACAATTAAATATATCTTCCTCGGCTATTCCGCCAATCAAGAAGGTTATCGACGTTTTGATCCTATCACCAATAAAACCTATGTTAGTGTCGGCATATCTTTTTGTGAAAATGTCCCCTTCATTCCTAACACTGCCTCAACTGAGGAGTTTGATCTTTTAGATACTACTCCATTTTCGACTCTAGTGAACATTTCTCTTACAACAGCCGTCGTTCCCGATGCACCTTGGGAATCGCTTAATTCGCCACCAACCGAGCTAACCCCACCAGCCCCACCTCTCAGTGTCTATACTCGCAGTGCAAAATCTTCTATTAAGACTTATCTCAACGCCCCTACCATCAAGACCGTTGCCTCGCTGCAGGCCTAGGAGTTCGCTCCGCGGCTACGGCCGATGAACCAGGTACGATGCTCACTCCACCTAAGTGGGTCCATGATCTGAGTGAAGATTTGCACCTCCTTATTGAGTTATGCAAACAGGTACAACCATGTGCTCTTCAACTCCTTTATTCTATGACAAAATACATCTCGTTCCACAACCTCTCTCCACCTTAAAAAACATTTGCAACATCCTTAACGGATTGTTGTCTCTCATCCACTATTGAGGTGGTTATGGCTGACCCGCCTAAAAGTCTACTGTCATGGACGAGCTGAATGCACTTCAGCGCAACCATTCTTGGACATGGTTGATCTCCCCCCAGGAAGAAAACGGTAGGTTGTCGATGGATTCTCAGCACCAAATTTAACTTTGATGACTCTTTTGAACGCAACAAGAGCGATTGGTCGCCAAAGACATTCACAAACTTATGAGATCGACTATGATGGGATATTTGCTCCCATTGCTAAATTAAATATCATTCAGGCCATGTTATCCCTAATTGTGATCTAGATTGGCCCTTACTTCAGTTGGACGTCAAGAATGATTTTATTAATAATGATCTCACTAAGAAGGTTTATGTCTCCTATCGGGATTTGACTCGATTTCTTCTTATAGACAAGACTCGATTTCTTCTTATAGACAAGACTCAACTTTTTCTCGTAGACAAGTGTGTCGATTGCAGAAGTCTCTCTATGGACTGAAACAGTCCCCTTGAGTAGGGCTGTCAAAATAGCTCATTGTTTGCAAACAGCTCACGTTCGGCTTGTTAAGTAGCTCGTATTCGATTCGTTCACTAAGCAAACAAGCCACAAATGAACATATTTTATGTTTGACTCATTTTGGCTCTATATAATTGACTACAAGGCTACAAAAATTTATAATCAAGTAAACTTATTAATTAAAAAATAGAGTACAAAATATTAAATTCTATTTAAATGGATTTTTAAATATAAATAATAAGATTTAAATTTTGGCCCTACACTTAACATCCTAAGGTTGTGTGACTCGGGCTATCAAATTTGCTCGTTATTCGCGAACAACAAGTATTTGGCTTACTAAACAAATGAGCCGAACACAAATAATTTTTTTGTGCTCGATATATAAACGAGTTGAACACAAACAATGATATTTTTTAACGAGCCGAACACGAGTCAAGCTTAAACCCAAGCTTGGCTCGTTTACACCCCTACCCACAGGTTTGGTTTGGGTTTACACAAGTTGTAGTGGGCCATGGTTTCTCTCAGGCCCAATTTGATCATACGCTATTTTTTTCCATTTGTCTGGCGACCATATTGCCATCCTCATCGTCTATGTCGACGACATTATGCTCATAGGTAACGATATATCAGCCTTGTAGTCTCTCAAGTCCATCCTCGCCGTGTCTTTTGAGATGAAAGACTTGTGTTCTTTCCGGTATTTCTTAAGCATGGAAGTAGTTCAGTCCCCTAGGGGCATTTCTCTTTCCGAACGAAAATATGTGATGAATTTATTTACTTAGACTATTATATTCCTTTGCAAATCGATAGCTATCCCAATGCATTTCAATGAAAATTTATTTGAAGTTCCCAATATCATTCTGGTGAATAAAACACGCTTTCAACGCCTCATGGGTAAAGCTCATTTATTTTGCCCATATGCGCCCAGACATTTTTCATGTCGTTAGTGTCGTTAGTCATTTTATGCATGACCGTTATGAGCACCACTTTGTTGCTATCCATCGGATCCTTCGCTACCTAAAAGGCACAAAAAGCTCGGGTTTATTGTTCACTCGTCATGTCTCTCGTTTGGTTGCAGTTTATACTGATGTTAATTGGGTCAGGTATGTCCATGATCGATGATCTACCTTCGGTTATTGCTCCTCGTGTGAGGATCTTATCATTGGAAAAGTAAAAATATAGTTTGTTGTTGCCCATAGTACTGTTGAAGCAGAGTTCGCTCTATCTTTAGATGTCTGTGAAGCCCTATGGTTATGCATCATACTCGGTGAGTTATGTGTGTCAGTCACCGTTCCTTTGCAACTTTTTATGAAAATAATGCCGCAATTAACATTGCACATAATCCGGTCCAACATTATCATACCAAACATGTGGAGATTGACCGTCACTTTATCAAGGAGAAAATCGATTGTAAGGAGATTTGTGTTCCGTTTGTTCTATCTATTGGTCAACTGAACGATATTCATACAAAGAATTTCTCTCGCCCTTTGTTTGATGATTTTATTTATTTCATTTTATTTTCTATTTATATATATTTCAGCTAATTATAAGAGTTTTTATTTTTATTTTATTTAATTTGATTCTTGTAATCTTGAAGATATTGATGTATTTCTTTCCTAAGTTAGGATTCTAGTAAGTTGTATTTAAGCAAACATTTCATATCAACAAAAATATTTGTATTTTTTCTTAGTTCTCCAAACCTACACATAAAACTACACTTTATTCATTACATCTTACGAGACTTGCATTACCATGACCCAAGCTTCCTTAACAAAATTATGATATGATCGACTCTGGGAGTATTGTAACGAAACTTAGGCTATGCAAAAGCAATTCCCATATGAATTCATATATATCCTTCATGATAATGTCTTTTGAGACTTACATTAGCATGGGCCAAGCTTCCTAACCAAATTTCTGATATGATCGACTCTATGTAAGGAAACTTAGGCTATGCATAAGCAAATCCCATATAAAGTTATATATATCCTGTGAGATTGAATTAAGGAATTTCAAGGAATATATGAATAAGTGTAGTTTCAATTCATAACAAATCTTCCATAGTCGACTAAAATTCAAATGGCTTAAAGAGTACAACAATCCAGTGAAATGGAGCAGCGTTTACCTTGTAAGAGAAAAAAATTGCAATGCTATATATTATAAATAGAAAGATTTGCATGCATACCACACAATTCTTTCGTTCTGTATGAAAGATTTGTGTGTTATATATGTAAAAAATAAAAAGTTCAAGTGTTAGATATGATATTATATTATATAGGAATTGGGTTATATATAACAAAAACTTAAAATTGGGGAGCAGTGATACATTGATGCGGTGTAATAACCCAACATGTTAGATACATCCATCCCAACCGAGGCAACCCATTAATGATGTCTGGATGAAGGAGATTTGGCGAGACAAATCAGTCAATAAGTCAACAAATAAAATAACCATGAAAGAAGGCTCGATATTTAGGCCTATCGGAGATTCCATCTCTGGTACCAGAGAACCGAAACCTCAAAAGAAAAAAGCACATAATATTATTGAAAGCAAATAGACGGTTACAACTAACACACTTAAAGGGAAAAACAAAAACAAACACGACACACAACAGGCTGAAATAGAAAATAACTACACGACTAGCAACATAGGGCTATGATGAATCTCAGGTGGCGGTGGTGATCGGCGCAGGTCTAGAAGGTGAAGGGATGGCGGACGAGGTTGTTGACAAGCAGAATATAGCAAGTCAACAATTTTCTGGGTTCCGGACAGCAAGTACGCAGAAGATATCGATGTCGCATGACTATCCGAGATGATGGCAGGAAAAGGGGGAGCATTGGAACATCAACGATAGCAAGATGGAAGACTGGAACAGCAAAGGCTGTGGGTATGTTGAACTGGAACAGTGATGGTAGCACATTGGAGGGGTTGGGACGATGGCTAGGTGGCTGTGAAATGGTTTGGAATGGCTGGAAGACCAGCCAAGGCTACAACGGAACGTTTCTCGTGGCTGAAACAGCAGTGAAGCTCCAAGGAAACTAGATATGGGCGGCTGGAACATCAGTCAAGGGGTGGGGAAGGCAGTTGGAAAGCAGGAACCGCACAAAACAGCCAAAAGAGGCTATTTTGGGCGGCTGCAATAAAGGAGGAGCAGCCGGAAGCAATGTGTGAGGATGCGGAAGAGGATAGGAGAAGATAATCATCACTTTGGGAGAGAGAGAGTCGACGCACAACCCAATCCCTCAGATACAACCATTGAAAAGAGAAAACGGACACTAACGGCCGTGCTAACAAAACACACGAAGAAAATGACCTAAAACACAAAAACAACATACTTATATACCTAGGGTAAATAGGAGTGGACCCCACTCCCAATAAGAGGAAAATACATGTAAAGAGTTGATCAGCCCTTCGGTCCAAGCCACTACGGTTGAAATCCCATGTCATCCAAGTCACAAAACATGACTTCGACATCGTCCTGCCATTCAAAATCGCGGGACACGACTTCCGTGTCATCCCACATTGCGGGTGGGACTACCGCACCAGTCTCATTTGTAACCCATGAGAAAGTTATTATCAATGAATCCCAAAAGGAGATAAAGTGTTGGAACAAGCTGCGCACCGATGTATCTCATTAACCAAAATGTATAGCTCCGCCCCATCGCCCCACGCGCGATTATCACCCTTTACCAATAATTCTTTGTCATAAGATCCTGAAATAGATAGTGAGGAGTAAAATAAAATAAAATAATTAATAGCACATGTAATTTTGCTAACATTAGCAAGAGTAAAAACAAAATGAGATAAATTGAGAACGTAAGTCAGAGATAATGTGAGTGTAATACTGATAGTGCCAAAATTAAGAACATTAAAGGTGGATCTATCTGCTAAAGTGATGAAAGTTTTAGAATATCATTAATGTGATTTGTAGCACCAAAATCAATGATCCATTGTGTGGAAGGTGAAAGAAGACAAATATTATTGTTACCTAACTCAGTAAGAGCAGTGATAAATAAGAATTTCTTGGATGCTTCTTGAAATTTGATGAACTTGGCATATTCATCAGCAGAGCTCGGAGAGTCTGACTCGGAGATGCCTCAATAGTATTGAAAATGTGATCTGACTCTCCCGGAGATGCCTCAATAGTAGTGACAATGTGATCTGACTGTAATTTGGAACATTTCTGGTTCTTTCTGAGAAACTACTTACATGTTCTCTTTGTATGGCCATGTGTATGATAGTAATAGCACACTACTTTCAACTCTTAATTTCTAAAATTCAGAGTTCCACTTCTATAACTATTCTGAGCTGAGGTTTACTAATATTTGTATTTTTCTGACTAGCAAGTGCAGGTGGTTGTAAAGATGAGGCCTGAAAACTCAGGATCGTACGCAGTACTCTATTATATACTTCTCCAAGAGTAATACATCCAGGGTCAAATAAGATATGTGATTTAACATCTTCATACTGAGAGTTGAGGCCAGCTAGAAAGCACGTGATAGTCATTTGTTCTCTTTGAGCCTGTTGAATCTAGACATTGATACTAAAGGGAAATATTGCTTTCAATTCTTCATACACACGTTTAAAGTACATGTGATACTTGCCAAGTGACTGATCTTATTGTTCGCACGATAAAATTCCTTACATACATCAAATATTAGAAAAATATTTTCTCTCCCAGAAAACACGAACGCGAATTCCCCAATCACATCTTTAACAAAGTCGCAATGAATAAGATCGAATTGATCAGGTTCATTAGAATTCTGCATTTAAATCAAAAGTTGAGCATACACTTTCATCCACTTAGAATATCAAGTCACTCTCAGCCGGAGGATTATCAATGAAGTGACTCTGTTGAGAAATACTTATTTAATAATGTCTCACAACTTTATTCCAGTAAAAATAATTCATGTAATTTAACATTTCCTTTGTAATCTTCGTTATTGATGAAACCAAATCTGTCACAAGATGTTTGTGTTCATCGGTCATAATCGATGCCATTCAGTACTAAAGAAAGAACTGTCAAAAAATTTGGACACAAATAACTCACTGAACCACTATTCTACGATCTCCAAATGAAAAAAAAAAAAAATTGAACCTAAAGATCAGAGGAAATAGACCCGGATCAAGCAGAACACAAAAACCGAGCAAAGCATAACAACCGATATGCGGACCGAGCAAAGCATGTCGCCTTCGTCGATGCCCCTAATCTTGTCGACATGGACAGGGCCGATGAAGCAAAAACAGAAAAAACCGAAGGTGAAATCTATGCAGATGACACCGTTCGAAGCGAAGCAAGTCTCACAAGAAGCAGACGATGCCTTCGTGGGAAGCAGTCGAAGTCTTCAACCTACTCGCAAAATGCAGACAATGACGTCATAGGAAGTACTCGAAGACAACCTAAGAAGACAAAGATGCCAACAATGATGTCGAAGGAAACTAATGAATACTTCACAGGATGAAAACAAAGTCGTTGATGAAGTTGAAGGGAGACGACAACGTCGCGAGACGTGGGCAAAGGCAAAGACAAAATGATTTGACGAAGCGTTCTGATATCATGTAACGGAAAAGACTACCTTCTTTCTTATTGCCAATAAATACATGTGACACACACATACACACACACTCAATCTCTATAGATTAGAAATATTTCTAATAGAGGAAAGACCCTGTAATTAAATCCCCTCTAATTAGAATTACTATAATCAAACTTCATAATAAAATACTTCCCATAAAATTTCTCGAGTGTCAGAATTAGATGCATCCCTTTAGGAGAAACATAGGACTAATGAAATGAGTGAGATGAGTGAGTTTGTCGATGCAGATCCTCCCAATGATCATCAGATGTATCCTAAGACACTAATTCAATTTAACCACTTAACATTAACTTCCACAAATTATATCATCACCTATATCTCCACACTTCCATATGACAAGACTCATAATATTTAAACCTATTGCACATAGATATTAATTTATCTTCTCATAACATTAATTAAAGGTTGACTGTATCACACACACAAAAAGTGCATCTTATACACTCAATCTTTATTCTACATATTTTACACCCTTTTTTTTTGGGCATCTTTACATCGTTATAAACTATTCATAATGCAATCATTCCTATATAAATTATTGACGCAGCACTACTATAATTAAAACTCATTCGCATCTTCAAAACAATTTATAATTCTAGTTAATATTCCACAATACATATATCTAAATTTTCATTAATGAGTAAGAAAAAACCTACATATGCAACAATTGCATCTCAGCACCAATAAAATCACGAAAATGTTGACTTCTGCAATCTCCATCAGAACAAAGCATGCCTATTTGACAACAATTTCTTTGTGCGCTTTAAATGATAGAATCACATTCCATACAAGAGCCACAACGTTTGCAGCAAGAACCTGACATCGACATTAAAAATAAAGCAAGAATAAAAAACATCTGTAAGATGAGGTAATCGGAATATTTCATGCTTGGTGGCACAATAACAAAATACCATAAAAATGCAACTTAATAGCCCTTCAACCACTTCATTCTTTCATCAAATCATTAGAAGATCGAAAATTAAATGGATTAGAAAAGTTAATCATCCAACCTGAAATTTTTGTGGAACAAACCGGAAATTAAGGAACTGAAAGGGTATCCACAGCTGCCAATTTGCTAGCACAGATGAAAACCACTCCTAAAAGCAAACAAAACATAAAAAAATAAGTGCACTTTACCTTGATTGTCTTCGAGGATAAGACTGTTTAATACCTTACCTGCTGGAGCTTCGGTATCACTTGAGAAGGCCTTCCTTCTAATGTAACAAGCGCACATAAGAAAACCCCGATAAAGATGGGAGAGAAGAAAAACTGTAACACAGTATAACACAGTAGGAAATGGATTTGGTGAGGATAATAATTAAGAGGCAGTTCGGGATTACTTTTATCTTTTTATTTTCTATATTTTGGTTCTTTTTTATTCGAAACAAAACATGTTTGGCAATTTATTTAGGGCTTTTTTGGGACCACCTTTGTTTTTGCTTCTATTTTAAGAACACGTTTGTGTGGTGTATATTTTGTATTTTATTGTTTTTAAAAATAAAATAGCTTATTTTTAAAACCACTCAAAGCATCTAAAAAATATTATGAATATTTTTAAAAACACCTAACATGTTATATCATACCAAATATGTTTAGTTTAAGTTAAAACATAAACAAAACAGAATAAAAATAAAAAAAGAATTAAAATCCCAAATGGTCTCTTAAATTATGATTGTCTTTAAAAATATTCAAAACACTTAAAAACAATTTTGAGTGTTTTCAAAATAATGATAATTTCTTTTTAGAAACAATATAAAAAGCAAATAAAAAATATACTTAATAAACATATTTTTATAAATAAAAACAAAATTGATCACAAACAAGCCCTAAATTTCCAAAAACTAAAACAATAATGTACCTGATCAAGGAAAAGGCGCAAGGAAGCGCCCGACGCTCCAGGCAAGCTGATCAGCTTACTAAGAGAGAGATACCTTCAAAGGATCATCGTGTTAGATAGGCAAGGTAAACATAAACTTCATGTAAATAAAACACAATAAAATTAAGAGAAAAAAAGTCATTCGTCTTAAAATTCCAGATGACCAAAAAATAAAATCTCAAAAGGCAACAAAATTCGTAATTGCATGCATTTTTTATGATAGAACAACATATTTCAAAGTTGAGAAAAAAATTAGCAAACATTACCAAAAATGCAGTGTAGGACCCACCAACACAAGCCCCAAGAAAGTGAACACAAATGTCCGCCTTTCATCCAGTTTTGGGACATGATCTATCATAATCTGGCAGATAAAAACATAGAAGAGGTTAACAGGGAAGCATGCGAACAAATGCAACTACTCAAAGAAACTCGTGATTAACAGAACAAAAAAATATGAGAATAAAAGAAAATAGTGGCCAACAAAAAGTGCTTCAAAACTTAAATAGCATTTACAAAACTACCGAATTTGTCTTTGACAAAAACTCATCTGATCTGGTTTGTATTGACTGGAATGAATCAGATTATAAGCAATTATTGTTCTCCCTAAACCATATTGCAACCCTAACAATCATCAAGGGACTATTATTAAGTTTGAAGAAGCCTTGATCTAAGCCCAAAATATTTAATCCTTGAATCCCAATATGAGGCAAGTATTTCCAGGAACAGGATATACGGCTATCAAAATATGACCACCAACATCATCATCATTAGTTGTATGCCAATAATTTGAGGTCAGTTTTACAAATCCTCAATTTACGTCAGTATCCATTGAGTGCTGCTGAGATAATAAACCAATTATTTACAAATCATTTTGAAAAACTTTGCTGCGATCAAGCATAGATTTTCGTACATAAATAAAAATAAATTTCTTTCTTCAATAACACAAACAACACAACACATAAAGGATAAACACCAACAATTCTAAAGGTAAGCCATCGCTCCCACATCCTACAATTCAAAAGGTAAGAAATCTCTCCAAAATCCTAATCCTAAGACTCAAAGACAGCAATCGAATGCATAAACATAACCCTTAAACAAATTAGTCCTATTTATACTAAATAATAATAAATAACAAAAGACAAAATTACCCTTAGATTCACGAAGGACTAAATTGCCCTTACATACTGGCCTAATAATACTCCCCTCCCAAATAGACACATTGTCCTCTTGACGAAAAAAAAAAGTTATTGGATCAAGTTGTTCGACTCCCCCCTGCGTCATCATATGGCAATCCTTTCTATTTAATTAGAAATTCATAGTAACCCTCATAAATTCGAAATGTCATATTGCGTACATCCTTCAGTTACATATGAATCTGTTGGTACTCTGATTTCAAATCAAGATTGGAAGATATTGCATCCCCACACAACTCGTCCAGTAGCTCGCCAATCACCGGGATTGGAAATTTGTTAGGTATTGTTTATTTATTCACTATACGATAATCCACACAGAGACACCAACTCTCATCCCTCTTCTTCACTAGCAAGATTGGGCTAAACAAGAAAATTAAACTAAAATGTGTGATCCCCGCCTCCAACATATCTGGGATCAATCTCTCAATCGAGTCCTTCTATACCTAGGAGTAGCGGTAAGGGCGCACACTGATAGAAGAAACCCTCGGTCTCAATTTTATTGCTTGCTTGAGCTCACTCCCAACTTCTTCGCTCGAACCCAGGGCTCCAAATCCACCTAAAGCAGCAATATTGTCTTGATGCCATGCAATTACTTTTGTTTGTTGTCGCTCTAGTGTGCTCCCAATTCCTTCGTCTGATCTTGCGAATCCTGATCTTCCATAAGCAGTGAAACTCTCATAATTTCGCACCAATCCTTCTGATTGATGCAGCTCGCACTGTTCTTGATTCTTTCACTCGACTCCGAAGCAACGTAAGCTTGATGCCACACAATTTCTTCAGGTTGTTACTGTTCACGTCAGCTCCAGACATCTTCGTTCGATCTCGTGACCGGCTAAGGCGATTTTGTATGAAACTCAATGATCATCTTCATTATTTTTTTCAAGGGCGTGAATCTCTCCTCTATAGACCAGAACCTACCCTCCAAGGAAGAGAAATGCTCCTCCATTTCACATCTAATTTGACTCGCCTCTTTCTCCAATTCATCTACTTTATTGGGCACCATGTTTCCCAGAACGGATTTCAATCATAAAGGAGGAATACTTGTACATTGAAATCCTGTTGTTTGTCTTCCCAGATATCCTGAATTGTGATCGTACCACGAGATCATAACTTGTGATCTATCCTCAACTTTCCAGATCGCCCGAATCACTATTGTATCGCAAGTTGGGCACGCCTTCTCTACATTGCTTCTCTGTACTTGCTGATATCCCTTCGGTCTTCACAGCTAGGTCCAATCATGACCGCATCTAGAGATTCGGTCATGATGTCATTTGTACCCTGTGATCCTGATGTTGGCATCGCAGCTAGCTCTAATTGCAATTGTTTTGTGATTGTTTGGTCGTCGTGACCTCATTCATTTGCCCTGTACGCTACAATCCCGATGTTGGAGTCCCAATTAACTCTAATGGTAACTATATTGTGATTGTTTAGTTGTTGTATGTCGTGATCTCACAGTTTGTAGGTTGATACTATCGTTGGCTTCCCAGTTAGGTGTGTTTCTTCACAACTAGTTTCGGTCACAAAGGAGCAATCCAATCGTTAAGATCCTAGAAAGCTCTTATCATGACTGGCACGCCATAATCTTCCTAGCACACTCAAATTGGGATCGAATGGCACTGTGTATTACGTCGTTCGACAGTCGAGATGCCTCCTTCCTAGATTGAAGGCTCTATACCAATTAGATACGATCCCGCATAGATTTTCACATATAAATGAAGGCAAAAATAATTTTTTTTCCTTCAATAACACAAAAAACACAACACATAAAGGATAAACACCTACAATTTGAGAGGTACAATCTCTCCCAAATCCTACAATTTGGGAGGTAGCAAATCTCTCTCAATCCCTAACACTTGGACTCAAAGAAAACAATCTCATGCATAAATCTAACACTAACTTATTAGCCATATTTATATACAAAGCAATAATAAATAACAAAGGACTCAATTGCCCCTAAGCACCGCCGGCATAACAAACTTCTATAAATATTATTTTAGGTCTACCTATTTACTTTCCAAATCCTCTGAGATTAACTTAATTTATCAATTTAATGAGTGCATTTTCTACCATGTATTATTTTATCCATGAAAGCATTTTTCAAGTGACACAAAATATATCGATGAAAAAAACCCTTGTCTTCAATAGATGGCTCTCTAACCATTATTTTAACATAATTATTCCTTAATTCATCATTCAACAATTTAATCCATACAACAGCATGGGCTAAATGGCAATTTTATAAAGTTTATGATGGAGGACTGCAAGTTTATTCTAGATAAATTTTCAAACAAACAAATAATAAAAACAGTTTATTTTGTTTATTGTGTTCAATTGTTATATTGTTATTTTATTATTTTAGCTTATGCTAAGCATCAACAATAATTGTATACACTCTGTATTTCATACTCTAGTGATAGGTTGATTTCTATGGTTTGGCTAATTTTAGTTGGGTTCAATTGGAATCTTGTTCAACAGTCTAGATAGTTTAGTGGATAAAATGCAGCCAAATACTGAGTAAACTCTTAGGATATGATATCTGAAGTTTAGCTCTATTATTTTGTTATTGTTAAAGCAAAAGCCCTAATTTTGGTCATATTTGTTAAACTAGGAATCAACAGCAGAAATTCAATTGCTCATTGATTTTTTATGGTTCAAAATTATTATTGATTTAAATTTAATCAATCGTTGCATTATCATTTCTATTCAAATTCTTATATTTTCTTGTTTACATCTAAAAACTTGAATTTTTGTGTAATTATGGTCTTTGATATCTGAAGTTTTTTTTTGTAAGTGATCTGCATTCTTCATTGCATCATTGAACCCAAGATCCTTAAAAATCTGGAAAAAATATTACATCAGGATTTCAGATGCATCTGGAGTCCGATAGTGGGGAGCCACATGTCAAGTGAGCCCCACAATTTTTAACACTGACAAATCCCAATGTATTACAGTGGTTCCACTCGACATCTGACATCAATTTACCTTCTCATGACATCACTTTATCACATAATACTCAGAATAGACTACTACAATCTTAATTCTAAAAACTATATCCTCACTCATATCGTCTATACTGATTCAAAACACTTAAATCCATCCTACCGAGATATCACCCTGTCTCCTAACAATATTGATTAATAATTGTTAATATCAAACTCTTCAAACTTACATATCATATACTCGGTATTTGTTCCAATATTTCTAAACATCATGCTTATAAACATTCTCATTATTCTAAGCTTCTGCTTATTTTAATAAATCTCTCAACAATTAGAACTATATTATCAATAAAAGTATACAACAAAACACCTCATTTACAAAAACGGTAAATGTGAATGAGACAAATAAGCTTCATCATTAATCTGTCTAGTTCAAGCACAACAAATAGAAACAATTCAGAGCACGTTTTGGGTTAAACCACTTGCCAACTACAGATGGGTGAGTGAGATCAAATTGAGATGGGAATTAGAAGAAGCAATGAGGAAAAAAAAACGGTACAGAAAGAAAAGCATAAAGGTGGGTAAACATAAGGGAGAGAACAGAATAAGGAACTCGACCAAAAAGAGAATTTGAGACTCCCAAAATGAAGAAGGCCAAGTTAGCAGGTATGCTATGAACAACAGTAAGTTGGCGGAAATATGACATTGGCCCGGCATCTTCAAAAGATCAGGTTCTAAACCAGTTGGAAAGCCCAGATCTTGATACCAAAAAATTATTCAATAATGGACTAATCAAATGATACATTAATCACCGCCAATCAAAATATATAAACTATTGATGTTTTTTGAGCGCCTCGTCGCCAATCCTTACAACTTTGCGAGATAAATTGCAGGATTTTCATCTAATTGGAGAAACTACGTCTAACCAATAAAAACCAAAATTAGTTTTCGTCGAAACACAAAAAAATTTACAAGGTCTTCATCTTAAGAAAGAACACAACCAAACAAAAAATTAAGAAAACTTGTGATTATTCATCATGAAATTTGCTATTCTCACAGCAAATCATCAAATATTATCAATGAGAAGAAAAAGGGGTAACCCCAAATCAATATGGTAAATGATGATGATGACAACTATTCAACACAATTGTGAAAAAAAATATATGGCAAAAGACTCCTGTCAAGTTCTCAAATTGAAACATAGAATGAAATCAAAATACCTGGCATACCAAATCCCCAATAAGAGTAAGAAATGCAGATGTCAAAGCCTTTGTTATCACTGGGTGCTTATCAAGAGCTGCCAGATACCTGGCAAACTTGAGCTAAAACACGTTAAAAATACAATCTTTATTCTCTCCAAAGCATCTAAAACCAGTTTTTCTTTAAGTAGATGTTGAAAATGTGAAAGCATAGGTCGAGGAAACACGAGGCAGGATGAGGACAGAAGGAAACCAAAGCTGTTGGAAATATATATAGCATTACTATACAATAATGTTTATGATAGTAAAACCATCAAAATACAGCTTAAATCTGAAGAGAAATAGTAGAACTAGCAAAGAATATGTAAGGATGCCTTAAAAAATAATAGTTATTTTTGTATACGATTAAATTTATGTTAAGTTATATCTAGCAGATATGCCCAACTAAAATTTAAAATTATCATTAACAAATAAAGGTTATCACAAAATTGCATGTGATGGAAACTACAACTTACCTAGGAAAATCTGCTCAAACACCAGTGCTTTGAACGTCAGTTTCATATCACAGTTGTTAAGAACTCATTTCATATACGTTCAAAAACTTATTATGGAAATCTAAGACAGTAAAATAGTAAGTTAACAAGATGTAATAGTGTTTGTACTCTTTCATAACCATTTCTCTTTCAACACATAAAAAAGCATACTTGTTGACTTGTGACAAACTTTAAATATAAGTACAGAAAATATTATTCAAAATTAAAGTTCCTTTTATAAGAGCCAAACTTTATTGCTTCCCACAGTTGTTCATACACCACCATGAAACATTGCTTAGCCACCACTTACTTGCATAAACTAAATACAAAAAAAAGAATAATTGTATGCAATGTTGAATATATACGCATGTTAATATGCCTAGTTCATAGAATCCATATTTTCCAGATGCAGCGAGTCACATTCCTCTGTTGGGAGAATGAAAATGTGCCTATGTTAGCCCTCTGGCTAGAGAAATATTTCCATGCAGAATAAGCACGCAACTCTGCGTGCGTACTCCAATAATCCCGCAATCCCCCCATAATAACATATGAATAACACCGAAATAGAACCTGCGAAAGTTATTGGGAGGCTATATATGTTATTGGAATTAAGACCCCAATACCCTACCAATAACCCTTCAATAACCCCGAAGCGAAGGTTATTGAAGGGTAATTACGCACGCAAAGTTGTGTGTGTATTCCATATGGAAATATTTCCCCTCTGGCTAACTGGCAATGCAGTTGATCAGTATTCAATTTATTTGGTATAAACCCCTCTTTCAAGTGATGACAGGGTAAGATGAGGAGGTGAATTCAAATTGCCTATTTACCCTCAATTTTTAATCATCGGTTACCTGTATGACCTCAGAGCTCTACAAGCATGATGTTGTGCGAAATTTTTGTAAGAATTTGTGATCGTCTTAATTAGCCTCCAATTTTCCTAATAGAAGACTCCTCGGTAATTTTGGGTGGTTTATAAGTGGGAGTAATGTCTAGACTGCAGCATCGATAATAGTGTATGCAGGAGTTTTAGGTGGTTTAAGAGTGGGGTTGCGTATGGAATGAAAAGAGAGTTATAATATTTATGCGACACTGTCATGTTACAAAGGTAAATTAGTAGTCATACATCTCAATCCATGAAAATGGAAGGGAAATAATATTCAATTATATGTGCATGTGTGTTGGCCTTCATATTTAATTTTCCTTTTTTGGGGGGGGGGATACATGTTTTGTAAATTAATAGGTAATAGAAGACCAATAAGTTTCCTTTAGGTTCAGCAAGGTACAGGTAATGATACCGGAGTTTACACAAACAACAAATGGCAATGTATTTTGTTGCTGAACTCAAATAAGATTACAACCAAAGCATTTGGAAATAGGAAATGATAAAAGTCACAACACAGCTCAAACTATGGCATAGATCAGGGATGGTAGTGTCGCAGTTCAAGGGGAAAGTAATAGGAATGGAGCACTATATGGTCAAAAGTCCGCAAGTTGGGGGTTGTTTGGAGGATAGATGGTAGAGGAAATGTTGCAATAGTGCATGCAGCAATAGTTGGGATAGGGTGGTAGATGTATGGAAGGGGCGGCAGCAAGTGGTCAGTGGCTATAATGGGTCAGCGGCAATGTGGATGCTTGGAAAATGTCGGCAGCGGGGTAGGAGGCGACTGGAAAAAAAGACAACAAGGTGGGAGGCAGTTGAGTGGGAAGAGGCTACAGAAAAATAACAAAACAAAAGTTTTTGGGTGGAAAAGTTGTGGATAATCACCACCTCATAATGAAATATAGTTGGAGCACCACTCACCCTTGGATACAACCTTATAAGGGAAGACTTGGAGATGTTGACAACTGCCACAACAGAAAACACCAGAAAAACTAACTACAAAACAACAGATACGCAAATATATAACAATAGGATAAATAGGAACAAGTTGAGGGCCGGCTGGAACTCCACAACATAAGAAAACCTAGACCGAATTGGTCCAGATGAGCAGGCGTTCCGCACACTTAAGCGTGGGAGGCACGAGTCCCGCTCCCAAGCAGGAGATGCACGCGTCAATTTCCCAAAATTGAGGGAGCTTTAACCTCATTAGTCAAACTTGTTGCCTTCACGTTGAAGCTGACGATATTGTTGTAACCTCCCAAGGTTGGAGAATCTTTGATTGCGGCCTTAAAAGCATCTGAATCTCATTGTTGACTACATAGTCTCCGAAAACACCTGAGGAGTGTTCCTCATTAACATGTAGCCATCCATATCGATCTAACAATCGAGCGTACACCGTTAAATCGGACGGGCTCTTCGTGGCAAATATACTCTGAAGGTGTCTTCCAAAGGTTACCCATGATTGGTTTATCCTTATCCCACGTGAGGACAGACTGAACTCCCTTTAACATGGTGACTTTGGTGGTAAGGTAACATCATGATGTCCTGAAATCCTCTCTGTAGTATTTGGCATATATCTAGAATTAGCACCTTTGTCCCACTTTCCTCTATCATCATCAGCTAAACAGATCCAATTGGAACTTCTTTACTGGCAAGGGCCACGGCAATCTCGAATTCCATATAAGATATAAGGACTATGTAGATGCATCCTTGGTCAAGGAGTAGGTAATCCCAAACCCATCATGCTTAGTCTGATGATCAAATTACCACGGTCTCCCTAACAAAAGATGGCAGACATCCATGGCCACCACGTCGCAGCAAGATTGATCCTACAATTAGTTTCCAATCGAAAACTTCACGAGACACTTCTTATCAATGTTGACCCTATTGCCTCTGAATCATGAGGCTTAATTTATACACCATCTGTGTGGACCCAATATTCTTACTTCTCCCTTTATCAAAGAAGAGAGTGTAAACGCTTTCACAGTGTAATAGTTATGGAATACATTGTGGTGAAGCCACAACTGCTCCCTCTTATCTTCAGTCTTTAGAACCCTTCAAACTACCAGCATCTCGCCCTCATCCGGCGAGAGCCGGTACTCCTCACCCCGTTCTTCAGTTGTTTTTGGGTCACACACTTCTTCCATTGCCCCCTACTCAATGAAGGACACAACTCAGCTCATCGGGAAAATGGAAACGATATGTCCAAAAACTTGCCATCAGAATCATTTTTTTGTTGGGACCGCACTGGGCGCACTACTCTTTCCGGGTTTCTTCTAAATCGGAATAGCTTTGTCTTGTTCCTGACCAGTCTGCTCCATTCCTTAAGGCGCGCTTCTCCTGAAGTCTCCAAATGTGGGCAGTTGTCTGACTGTCGGTGGTTGCTCGATCTGATTATATTGTCTCTCCACTTTCAGTGTTAAAGTTTACATGTTCCTCGGTATCCAATAGGGGTGAAATTGGATCACATTACTGACGGCATGCTTCAGGCCTCCCAAATACTTAGCTATGGTGTACTCCTACCTCTCATTTGACTCGCATCAACTTAAGTTCCATAAATTTTGTTTTATACTCCTCCATTAATAGCTCCTTCTATTGCAGATAGTGGAGCTTCAAGAAAATATCCTGGCAGTAGTGCGGGGATAGGTATTTTCGCTGCATCGCCTTCTTCATTTTCTCCCAATAAATGATTATGGCCCTTCCTTCTCTCTGTCTCTCTCTTCAGATTCTCCCACCAAAAATAAACATTCTTCAGCTTGATAGCAATGAGCTTTACCCTTCTCTCATCGAGAACAATCTGCATCCTTTCAGGGAAATCAACTGGATCCACTCCTCTCATAGTCAGGTAGGTCCACCTTTATCCCAAGATCTTTATATCATCCAATAGGCACGTCATCTCTGTAGCTTCTAGCAGACACTCCATTTTTTTATCCTTTAACAGACATCTCATATATATGTCTTCGTTAATATTGTCAGGTCTTTTTCTCCACTGGAATCGTGCCTAAAGAAGGGATTCAGGTGTTCCTCTTGCTCTCTTTCATGGATTTCATTGTTACGGTCAATGGTGATCCCGAACTGGGTTCTTTCCTAGATGGCATCGAGTCGATGTAACACTTGGTGGTGTAGTCGTTGTATGTCATCCATGGTAGATTCATGATCAGATTCCGACAATTATGTCCACGGAGGCACGGTTAATGTTTTGGGAGTGCGTAGAAGGAAGGTGTTGAGGATGGAGGGAAAAAATTATTATTATTATTTTTTTTTTGTGGAGGAGAGGGGGGTGATATAGGGGTTGCTATAAATCTTAGGATGGAACTAGCATTAGACTAGCTTTGATACCAAATCATATTGGAGTTTTACCCAAACAATAATGAAAAATGTAGCATTTATTATTGAACTCAAATAAAGATTACAACCAAAGCATTCAAAAATAGAAAATGACAAAAAAACACAAGACAACTCAAACTAGGGCATAAGTCGAGGTTGATGGTGTTGTGGTTTAAGGGGGAAGTAACAAGCATGGAAGGCTAGATGGCACTCGTCTAAAGAAAATACACTGTTAGTTTTTAAAGGTAGACGACAATGCCATATAAACTACCACTCATCTAAAGAAAATACACTGTTAGTTTAAGGGTTATTTGGTGGGTTGCATCGCTAGTGTATTTTATTTTCTTTCCTACCATTTTAACTTTCTTTATATGTTTTGAATTACACAAAAAACATACGTCTCATCTAAAGAAAATACATTGTTAGTTGAAAGGTTATTTGGTGGGTTGTATTGGTAGTTTATTTTATTTTCTATACTACCATTTTAACCTTCTTTATATGTTTTGAATTACCCAAAAACATATGTTTCCCTGCAATTGGAAATCATCGGCGATTTTCAAATATTATGCTACTTCAATGCACGACTCCCACAGTCACTGTCGCCTTCGCCACATTTCAATAAATTTAAAATGTGGCATAACCACCACCACAACAACAACAAGCCTTTATCCCGCTAAGTGGGGTTGGCTAAATGAATCATTTTTTTCATTGTGTTTTATTAAGTTTCATATTTTCATTTAGTTCTAATAAATTAAGATCATTTTTTATACAACATGTTCAAGTCTTTTTAGGTCTAACATAAGAAGAATCTAAAGCATCTACTCTCCTAATCGAATCATCACGTGGTCGATAATTAATGTGACCCAACCATCTAAGACGACTCCATCTTGTCTGCAACTTGAACAACACAAACCCTTTCTTCATTTCGTATTTTGTTTGTAAGTGTCGAGCCACTCATCCACCTAAGCATCCTCATCTCAACAAAACTTAACTTAGTTTTATGCTTCTCTTTTAAAGACCAACATTATGTGTCATAAAGTATTGCAAATCTCACCATCATCTTTTAAAAGTTTCATTTGAGTTTAAGCGGCACTTTTCTATCACACAATAACGATGCAGTCCTCCACTTCAACCATCCAACTTGAATATCCCCATCTATATCACCGTCGCTTTGAACGATAAACTAAAGGTATCTAAAACGTTCCCACATTTTCATGATTTGATCACCCATTATTACAAATCTATCACTAAATTTACTACTACTAAAACTAAATTCCATATATTCAGTTTTAGATCTACTCAAACGAAGGCCTTTAGACTCTAATGTAGACTTTCATAATTCAAGTTTTTCTTTCTTGAACTCTTTCTCTATCTTTCTCTAGTTTTATCCACAAGAAGAATATCATCAGCGAAAAGCATACGCCGTGGTGCGTCCTCCTGTAAATGTCCAGTAACGGCATCCAAAAGCAAAGCAAAAAGATATGGGTTTAAAGCAGATCCCTGATGTAATCCAATTAAAAATATATATATATTTTGTCAATCCTCCTTTTGTTCAAACACAAGTAATAGCTCTAGTATACATATATTTAATGACTTGAATATAAGTCACATCAACCTTGAATTTAATGACTTGAATATAAGTCACATCAACACCTTTCTTTTCTAGCACTCTCCAAATAATTTCTCTTGGAACATTATCATAATCTTTTTTTGAATCAATAAAAATCATATGTGCATCCAGCTTCCATAATAGATTTGGTTGGCATAAATCCAAACTTATTATGATAAATCTTTGTATCATGTATTAACCTATGTTCAATTACTCTATCTCATAATTTTAACGTATGACACACTAACTTAACTACTATATAAGTTCCACAGTCTAATGCATCCCTTTTATTATTAAAAATGGAGACTAAATTACTCTTCCTCCACTCCTCGAACATCTTTTTAGTTTTTAAAATAATATTAAAAAGTTTAGTAAACCAATAAACTACTAAATCTCATAAATATTTCCACACTTCTATTGATATATCATCAAGTACGACTGAATTTTCACCATTGATTTTCTATAAAGTCTCTTCAACTTCTTTTGATACGGCAGTAAAAACAAAAAAAAATTATTATTATTAATGTTATTAAGATCACTAAAGTTGATCGTACTTTCAAAAACTTTAATGCAAATATTATAAAAATATCTCACTCACCTATGTTGAATATCTCCTTCTAATAAAAGTACTTTTTTGTTTTCATCTTTAAAATCACTAAAATATGTCACTCACATATGTTGAATTAAATCTTCCTTTTTTTTCCTATTTGTTTGGTTGGTTGTTTATACGTATATCTTTCACCTTCTAAAAATATAACATAACCAAAATAAAAGATTATTACAATTTTGTTTAATGAAATTAACATTTGTAGCACACAATTCTTATGTATTTACATATTTCATGCCTAAAATTTCATATTTACCCACATAGCACTTTGTGATATTAAATATTTTAGTTTTGTGTGCATAAATGTGAATGTTTGGGTGTGAGATATGTAAATACAAAAGAATTGTGTAGCATGTATGTAAATGCCATTTTTTTATTAGCATACAACAACATTCACTCATGCATTCTGAGATATGCGCAGTAAATTACTATTTTCTTCTAAAATTAATGTGTTTTAAAGAATCCAACCTAACAAAACTTGCAAGGTACAATTAGAAACCAGGTTCTGTGTCGCAGAAATCATACATTGCCAGTGCAAAAGAAGAAAAGTAAACGCTGCAAACAATAGCGTGCATTATTTGATAAAAATCTATCAAACACGAAAAAGAAAAAAAAAAACAGTTACTGTGTAACATATTTCAAAAACCGAACATAAACTTATTTAGAATAACCAAAAACCAAATAAAACAAAAAGAATAACAGCAGCCACATTTCAGGGAATGTGCATAACGATTCGTGTTCGAAATTACCAGAACATAAATAAAATAAAATAAAATCATTACCATTACCATGATAAAAAGGACCAACCATTACCACCGGCTTCCTCCCCGCCTCCGCCGCCACTTCCACCACCTCCCGAACCCTTAAACCCGTCGCCGCCTCCAGAACCTCTATCTAAAACCGCTTGAAGCATGAAGAAATCAAATCCCTTCCGATCCGATCTGGAATAAACAGATCCCCAAACCCTAGAACAAGCTCCTACGGTCGGAGATTGGAAGCAACCAATTGGAATCCTGAATCTGGGTAGAGTTTGCGGGACCGGAATGGAAGTGATTCGACAGATATTGTGAAAATTGGATGAGATAGCCGATAGGGGTTGTAAGGATTCGAAGGCAATGGGGCTTCTGAGAAGCATTGCCGCTATTTTCGATCCGCGCCACAGCATCATCGTGGGTTTTGTCGAGATTTATCGAACTGCCCCTTGTCACTCCTTATGGCCGAGGGTTCCGATCGGGTCGGGCGGGGACGCAATTAAATTCTCACCCGATCCCGGTTCGGTTCGGAATTTGTGAAGCAACATTGTGACTATGGTATTTTGGGCAACAACAGCCGTTTGTAGAATTTGTTGTGAAGCTTGAAGTTATTGTTCCAAAATTTTGAGTGATTAGTATTGAAAAAAACTTGTTTTTTTTTTAATAAACCGTAACTTTCTAATAGCCACCATAAATAGTTAGATATGACGTGAAAACCCAACTTTTAGCTATAACTTTGTTAAAACACGTGAAAAAAACAGTTTTACCAAATAGAAAAAATTATGGTGCGATACTACACTGCCAGCTCAAACACACCCTAAGCATCACTGGCAAACCTCTACGTTGGGCAGCGATTGTTCTATTCACATATTTTATATTTGTAATATCATCCCAATATTTTCAAAATATCACCTGTTAATATTTATGAAACTAATTGTTTGGATTATGTTGGCTTTTTCCCTCTCCTAAACAGCATAATGGAGGTCCGAAGCAACGGAACACGGCTCTGATATCACGATTCTAAATTAGAGATACATGTAGTTCTCATAAAAGCATTTAAGGAGAAGTAAGTCGGTCAAACGAATAGTTAGTGTTCTCGCAACTTTCTCTGAGATGAAAAGGCGGCCAGTTGTCATGTCAAAAGAGTCCTAAATAAAGTCCAATTATAATGTTGTTTTTGAAAATTTTACATGCATAACATATAATTCTTATATATTCACATGTCTAATACTTAAAATTTGATATTCACATTCATAATAATTATTGAAAATCATTTTTTTTCCAAGTGTTATCATTGTCTAATGCAGTTTTCTCACCCCTTTCATCATAAGTTGCACCTGGTCGTATATAGGGGAACGATTGTCCCCAATAAAATTTATAATTTTTCTATACAAATAGTAAAATTAAATATTTTTTTCTTATGTAATTTAGGCAATTTAGTCATTTTGCCCAATATTTAAAAAAACTAATTTTTTTAAAATTTTGTCTATCTTGAAAAATAATGACGGTTCCGCTCCTACTTGAGGTGTTTATATGGTAAAGGCTTTTGTGTGAGCTCTTTCAAATAAAATTAGATTAGTGCGGGTCTCATTATAACTTATAATTGCCAACTATCATAAAATTTAAATAGCAAAAATAAAATATCACCAATTTTGAGGCTAAGTTGATTGAAATATATAACCATTATTTTGGAACTTTATTGCAAATCAATTAAATTAACTTCAAACCACCGTAAATAGGTACTAGAATTTAGATATTTGGGAATCAACATTCTTTGAAAGTCAATGACCATTTGAGTCGAAGATTAAAGCTTAGATTTTTTTACATTAGTCTAAAATAAACTTATATTGTTGAATCAAAAAAGTGTCTAGGAAAAACACCCATGTAATAGAGCGTAGTAGGATGAAGAAGAAACAATAGAAAACCGTGAAATGCATAAAATTTTACTCTGACATGACACATATTTATAGATATAGGGGTATGAATGTTCAATTACATATTTCCCCCCTAATTATTAGCTTTCAAGGGCCTATTTTAATAAATTACAAAAAAATTCAATAAGATATTATATCAGGTAACTTAACTAATATTGAACCCATTGATCATCCAGCTCAGTCAATCGACCGAATTCGGGCTGTGTGCGGTAACCGATCAACAGGGGTGTCGGTATTTGATCAATATTTTCGTGTCGCACCGACCATATGGGCTATCTTTGAATGACCTTCAGAGCTTTGATTTGCTGACAAGTCGGATGGTTCCGTCTACGATCGATCACTCGATCTTTCAACAATCATTCACTCTTCCCTAATTGTTGTCTTTTATGAGATCCATGCCACTTTGTTAAATCAGTCATATTGTTGAATACGAGTTTGTATGGGAGACACGCCCAACAAACAGAGCAATAGAAACTAGGATGGAAATACAATGAGATAGAAAGGAAATGAGAGAATGTACGACGATTTGCCCCTCTGGGGCAAATTGGGGTATTTCGGGGCTGTTGTGACATATTTTATATGTTGAATGTTTGTGATGCGTGGAGAGGGTGGCGTAGGGGGGGGTGTCTCCATAGAAAAGAGAAGGGTTGGTTGAGAAACCAACCCACCCAAATCAATTTCAACTAAACTCAGGCCAAACCAACTTAACTCGGGTTAACCTGAATCAACTTAAATCAAACTCAAGCCAACCAGACCTAAAACCTAAACCAACTTAAAGCAACCTTGGGTTAACCTGACCTAACTCAGGTTAACCTAAACCAACTTAAAACAACTCGGGTCAACCCGACCTAACTCGGGATAACTCAAATTGGCCTATTATGCCCATTTTTGTCGAACGTGACTTTCTGCAATAAAATTTCCCCTAACATACTAGTGCATAGATCTCGCACCTATTAAATACATTAGGAAAAACAAATGCATAAAATGCATGGCTAGACATAAATTAATGAAATAATAGTTAAACGTATGAAAACCTTGATCACACAATACCATATTCTAAACAAGCATCTGCGGGTGAAGTGCCCTAATAACATACACTTAAGTGTATGCAAAGAGTGTAGTTGAGGCTATTTTGTTTGATCTTTATATGGTCACCAATATTGGACCCATCATATAAAAATGGTAGTTTCTAACAAAATGGAGTTTAAAGTTTGAACTTATTTACGGTCAAAATAGTAAGTGCAAAATAGCATATGGCTTAGATTAAGTTGTATTTAAAATATGATTATTGATGATAATACTAAAAAATATATATTATTCTTTTATAATTTTAAATTATGACCTAACATACATGATCTAATTAAAAAAATGACATATTTTAGATTGCTTGTTTCCTTAATACAATCATACAAGTGTTGATTACAATGTGATAATTCATATTGACTAAAGAGATATACTTACAAACATTGCTTATTAAAGCATTATAATGAACATCATTTCTCTCATCTAAAAGGGGATTTGTCATCAAGGTGCTAACTCTCCTAAAGTTTCATGTAAATGATAGGTGCGAGCAATCTTAACATGCATAGATGACATGATATGTGTGAGTATTATAGTATGTGTAAGTTCTCAAATAAAAATAAGGATATATGGTATGCTAGGTGTGAGTACTATACAACCTTTAAGTGCTCAAGTCAATTAACATGTAATATGACACGTAATTTGAGTGTTAAGCATGATCGTACAAGGTAAAATGATCATTAATAAATGCAAACAATAATTATGATACATAGAATCATGCTAGATGAGATGATTGTGTTGAAATAAAGATGACATGTTTATGACATATGCTATATGAAGTCGAGCAACATACGTCAAATGCAAATGATGAAGGGGACATAACACATAGGTGGGCTTTGAAAGCTAATCATCATCATGTGGTATACAAACACGTAACAAAGAAATACAGGGACATATGCCTGTTCATGGGTATCTAAAAGACATGCAAATGCACAAGGTGATGCATTCAAACCTAAGCATTCTACCAAAACAATTTTTTCAATAATTCAAATTCACATGTTTATGAAATATACATATGTTTATTTCAAGATGCATTCAAACCTATACGTTATTAATGACAATGTACACCTTATATAATTGATCTCATATAAGTTTGGGATTTTGATGGTACTACACACAACAGTACCATGCCTGCCTTTATTTGATTGGCTAAGAACTATGAAAGATTTTCATAAGAAAAACTCTCATGACTTGGAGAATGAAAGTCAAAGATCTTTCATTATCTAATTATACAAAAGCTCCATACATTCTATCAAGTTGATGAAGTTATCAAGCAAACGCGAGATGATTAGATTCATAATAATATGACCTTAAATCTAAACCTTGTCAAGAAAAATGGATGAAGTAATCATCTTTTTAAAAACTCAGGAAACAAATGGGCCAAAAAAAAGGTTTCATAACATATGAATCTTTCTCTAACATCAGATTGGTTTTGATTTCTAATATCAACTTAAGAGGGCTCTAAAAATAAGAAAGGATGAAGATAAAATAAGATCTTGCTCATAAAGTTTGTTGTCTAGCTTCTTTTCTTCAAGCTCCACTTTGTAAAAGAAATGACCTAGAAGTAGATGAATTCTCTTCCTCCAATTTATCACTCTTACGAGTTTTTGGAGATGGGGAAATAACCTTGAATTCAACTCAAGAAAAAAGTAAGTAAAAGGAAGAAGAAAAGAGAAGAGCCTTAACTCACTTTTCTCTATAAGTTTTTCTCTCGCAAGAGCTCTTTCTTGGTCCCCAATAACTCAAAAAAGAAGTAAAAAGAATGAGAAAGAAGAAGCTATAACTAGCCCAAATATTTCTTCTTATTGGCCATAATATTCTATATAAATTATTTTTTTGTCCGCATAGGATTATTCCTATTTGTTCATTTTGAGTTGAGGAATCAAATTCTCTTTATATTGAACCATCCATGCCAGTCTGAGTGAAGAAATATCGATTTACTCTATACAACAATCCAATGATCCAAGATATTTCATAGTCCCATCAATTACTTCCTCATGTATCCCAGGAAGACTGTTTCGATGATTGATCCCGCCATCCTCACTCCAGATTTGTCCATCCTCGCCTAACACCTAGTCTGTGATCACTATAGCCAAGGTCGAACCCTCATCTAGTTCTATAAGAGCCAAATTACAAGCACGAAGAGCCATCTTATAAAAAAAAATAAAAAGAAAAAATAAAAAAAGAAAATCAAACCCCACAAAAAAGACCAAAGCCACTCGTACATAGGAACTAATTCAACTAAGATAATACAAATAATGTGACAGACTCACCATAGAGCACCAGAGAGAGCAATAGAAGCATAGTAGAGGATATTTGAGTGACTTGGTCAATCAGAGGGTATCAAGTTGCAACAATAGATTGAGTAGTCAAATTGAGGGTCAGGTCATTCGACTGAACATTCATTTGCGTAGTTTCGAGAGTCGAATCAGGAACCTTATTTGGCAGTGGGGGCACAACTTTCTTCTTCTTCTCGAAGAACTTTATTCTCTTCTTACCTTTCAATCAGTTTCATCCATTCGATTTCTCAAAGATAAAAATGATCAAAATCCTCGTGGAATGTCACCACGAGACTTTGCAAGGCTGTCCATCACAACGCTAGAAAAAAATGGGAGCAGATTGACTCTAATAAGAAAAGACAAAGAAAATTAGGAATGAGGAGTCCCATCATACCATATTTATAAGAAAAAAGGCGCAAAAATTTAGAGAATTTAATCATTGAATCGTTGATTAAAATTGAATGTGACCTACTTTATTAAATTTTCTTATTCTCGTCGCAACGTCATTTTCAATATGTATGTAATCGAAAAACAAAAATATGCACATAAAAAAGGCGTCTGCAACGACCTTAAAGAGATTTACCGTCCATAAGAGAAGAGTAAGGTGGAGGCAAACTCATTGTCTGGGTATTGTGAGGCCCATTTAACTGAACGAGCAAAGTCATACGAACCAAACCAGAAATGCTACAACTGATCGAGCCAAGAGGCTGACAAGAAGACGAGCAGATGATCCAAGCATGACCCATCCCGTTGAAAACAAGAAAAGAGAGCATCTAATTCATTTAATGCAGCAAAGCAGGCTCAGTGCTTTGGCATATACTGTAGTAGAGCTGATAAAAAAGAAGATACAATTCCACAAAACATTTCCGACCATTCATAAAGACCCTAAAGACTCCTTACGAGGGATTAAAAATAGTCAACTAGACTAGATCCAAAGACAGAACCATACCGAACAAACTCAGTAGACCAAGTTAACCCCGTCGAGCTGAAGACAAAAAAAAAACTTAGCTGACTAAGCCATAAGGTAGCTGAACAACAAGCTTGCACTTGTAAAAATATCGGAAATATCATAGCATGAATCCCTTCCAAATGAAGGTAAAAATATAATATCACAATTGTACTATTTTCTCTATACATAAGATAAATATTCCATGAAGAAGAGACACTAGTGAACATAATTTATTATTGTTTATATTTCTCTCTCTCTATCCCTCTCTCTCGCTTCCCTTATTCACTCTCAATTCTATGTTATTCATGACCACCTCGTGTACAACTCGTCAGTAGCTCGTGGTCAATTTGTTTGCTAAGCAAGCGAGCCGAGCGCAAACAATTTTTTTGAGTTCTATTATAAGCAAGCCAAACATGACCAATTGTTTATCTATTCCTGTTCGACTCAATTTGACTCAAAATAATCAAATAATAAATAAATATTATTACTAAATATTTATATATTAAAATTTCATATTGTATTTAAAAATATTTAATTTGTTTAGACTTTTAAATAATTTTAGCTAGAATTTTTTAAAAAATAAAATTTATA